AATTAGAATAGAATAGAATAGAGAATAAAATAATAGAATGGAATAAAATAATAGAACAGAATAGAGAATGTAATTAGAATAGAATAGAATAGAGAATAAAATAATAGAATGGAATAAAATAATAGAACAGAATAGAGAATTTAATTAGAATAGAATGGAATACAATAACAGACCTGGAAAGGGACTCTGTAGGTCATCTAATCCACCCCACTGCTCAGATGGTGTTGGCCAAGAGGAATAAAAACCAGCCCTTGGATGCAGGGCGAAGGGATGTCTTCTGGGTGGGGTGGGGGGGGGGGGTCTCATCTGAGACCTTGAGACCTGGCCTTGGAGAAGCCCTGCAGATGTGGGGGGAGGGAAGGGGGGGCAGCAACCCTGGGTTGAAATATGCTCTGGAGAGCTGGGCACGGTTTGCGTAGAGAGGACGGGTGGCAGGAAGGAAGGATGGACAAAGAAATTGCAGGAAAACGGATTGCAACGTATTACACTTATAAGGCTGCCCGTTTCCGAAGCCTCCTGGGGCCGGAGACGGTGCTAAAAACATATTTTTAAAAAGAACCCCTGTAGAAAATAATGGAGACAGGAGAACTTGGTCCAGACCCACAACTGGAGCCAGCTGTGTGTGACAGCAGCCAAAAAAGCGAATACATTCCTGGGTTCCATAAACAGAGGAACAGAACCAAAATCAGGTGAAGTCTTAGCACCGCTTTGTAAATCTTTAGTAAGGCCACAGCTGGAATATATACGGCACCCAGGCTTCGTCACCACCTTACAAATGTAGATGTTGAGACTTTGGGAAAAGTGCAGAGAAGAAGAACGAAGATTCCCAAAGGCCCAGAGGCGGAAACAGGCGAAGAAGAAGGACGGCTGAAGGATTCGGGTTCGACTAGCAGCTTAAAGAAAAGAAGAATTAGGGGGGGGCGGGGGGAGAAGACTGCAGGGTTTCAATCTTTGAGGAGCTGCCATAAAGAGGGGGGGGGGTCAAATTATTCTCCAAAGCCCCTGAAGGCAGGAAAAAAGAAGCAATGGATGGAAACTAATCAAAGAGAGAAGCAAGCTAGAACTAAGGAGAAACTTCCTAAAGTGAGGACAATTAACCAGTGGAACTGCTGGCCACCAGAAGTTGTGGGTGCTCCGACACTGCAGGTTTTCAAGAAGAGACTTGGACAGCCACCTGTCTGAAGTGGCAAAGGGCCTCCTGCTTGAGGGGGGGGGTGCGGGGTCAGACTAGAAGACCTCTGAGGTCCCTTCTAGCTTTGTCCTGATTGGGTGCTGCTGAGGATCCGATGAGGTTGGGAAGGAAAAAAGTTCTAAGGATTTTCCAGACATGAAGGCTGCAGCTCAGCTGGGTG